TTGGGAGGCCGAGGCGGGAGGGTCACTTGAGGTCAGGAGTTTGAAACTAGCCTGAGCAACATGGCAAAACTCTGTCTCTACTAAAAATACAAAAATTAGCTGGGCACAGTGGTGCATGCCTGTAGTCCCAGCTACTCAGGAGGCTGAGGGGGAGGTTATAGTGAGCCAAGATCACGCCACTGCATTCCAGCCTGGGCAACAGAGCAAGACTCTATCTTAAAAATAATAATAATAAAAAGCAGTAATTAATTAAATAGACAAAGTAAAAGCATTTTAAAAGTTAAAAACTGCTTCTTTGAAAAGACAAAACTGATAGACTTTTTTTTGGTTTTTGTTTTTTTTTTTTTTTTTTTGAGACAGAGTCTCACTCTGTCACCCAGGCTGGAGTGCAGGAGCACAATCTCAGCTCTCTGCAAGCTCTGCCTCCCAGGTTCACGCCATTCTCCTGCCTCAGCCTCCCCAGTAGCTGGGACTACAGATGCCCGCCACTATGCCTGGCTAATTTTTGTATTTTTGGTAGAGACGGGGTTTCACCTTGTTAGCCAGGATGGTCTCCCTGTCCTGACCTTGTGATCCACCCACCTCAGCCTCCCAAAGTGCTGGGATTACAGGCGTGAGCCACCATGTCTGGCCTATATATATTTTTTTATATAGACAGAGTCTTGCTGTGTTGGCCAGGTTGGTCTTGAACTTCTGGCCTCAAGCAACCCTCCTGCTTCGGCCTCCCAAAGACTACGGTCAGAAGTGTGAGCCACTGTGCTGGGCCAAAACTGACAGACTTCTAACAAAACTAGTTTAAAAGAAAAAGAAAGCAAGCACAAATAATGAGAAATAAAAAGTCGCTGGGCATGGTGGCTCAGGCTTGTAATCCCAGCACTTTGGGAGACCAAGGTGGGCAGATCACCTGAGGTCAGGAGTTAGAGAACAGCCTGGCCAACATGGTGAAACCCAGTCTCTACTAAAAATACAAAAAATTAGCTCGGCGTGGTGGTACGTGCCTGTAGTCCCAGCTACTTGGGAGGCTGAGTCGCCAGAATCGCTTGAATCTGGGAGGCAGAGGTTGCAGTAAGCCGAGATCGCACCACTGCACTCCAGCCTGGGTGACAGAGAGAGACTCCATCTTAGGGGGAAAAATACAAAAAAAAAAAGAGTAAAAAGTCAAATCTACAAATCAGGTAGGAAGTGAAAAGAGACCATTACACAAAACTTTATACCAGTAACTCTGCCAATTTTTCTTTTTTTCTTTTTTTAAAAGGGATAGGGTCTCACTGTGCTGCCCAGACTGCAGTACACTGGCGCTATCATACCACACAACAGCCCAGAACTCCTGGGCTCAAGTGACCCTCCTGCCTCAGTCTCCTGTGTAGCCAGAACTACAGGCATGTGCCACATCGGCCGGCAACTCTGACAATTTCTTAGAATATAACTTACCAAAACTAACTTGACAAGATTTTAACCATTAAAGAAAGTGAACCACAACTGTAAAATCTATCTAGAGACACACATGGCTGTGAAGGGGAGGTGAGGCCAAAGGTGGGTCATTCATAAATGAGTAGCCCCAGAGTATTTGCATTCCACTGGTCATGGGCCAAGGCAGAGGAAAACAATAATCAAAGCAACAAAGTCTTGAAGAAGACGAAAACAGATAGGCACTTGAAAGCCCAGTGGGGGTGGGCCTTGGAGAGGAAAGAGAGGAGAAAATGCCCTCAGCTATGGGGTTCTGGAGGTGATACAGGAAGGTGCCGAACGTTAGCTTTGATTTTCTCCCTGAAGCATGAAGGTCAATAGCTGAGCTGAGCAAGGGGTGGGTGAAGAGGGTACAGGTAGTCTAACAAGCAAGGAAAAGGAAGGGTTCCTGCCAAGGAGTTTAGGGAGGTACTTAAGCCAGAAAAACGCACTAGATGCCTATGCATGGCTTGGAGTCATGAAATTATTAGGAGGAAGCAGTAAACTGAGGCCAGCAATTTTCTCCAGGCATATTCTGCCACATGGAGGGAAGAGATAGGGCTGGACCAGCATAACCAAAAAAAGTTCAGGGCCTTTGCCTGAGAGCCATGGAAGAGCCACAGTGTCAAGTCAGGGAACTCAGGCTCCTAGAAGTGAGGTCAGGGAGACATGATAAACAGAACAGGAATGGAATCCGTGGACTGATAGGGATGGATGAGGTCAAAGAACTATGGCAGGTCGGGCACAGTGGCTCACGACTGTAATCCCAGCACTTTGGGAAGCCAAGGTAGGTGGATCATTTGAGGCCAGGAGTTTGAGACCAGTGTAGCCATCATAGCAAAACCCTATCTCTACTAAAAATACAAAAATCAACCAGGTGTGGTGTTGCACGCCTATAGTCCCAGGTACTTGGGAGGGTGAGGCATGAGAATCGCTTGAACCCAGGAGGCGGAGGTTGCAGTGAGCCAACATCACACTACTGCACTCCAGCCTGGGTAACAGAGCGAGACTGTGTCTCAAAAAAAAAAAAAAAAAAGAAAAGAAAAGAAAAAAGAAAAAAGAAAAAAAAAATTAGCCAGGTGTGATGGCACATGCCTATAGTCCCAGCTACTTGGGAGGTTGAGGCACGATAGTCTCTTGAACCCAGGAAGTGAGGCTGCAGTGAGCTGAGATCATGCCACTGCACTCCAGCCTGGGCAACAGAGCAAGACTCTGTCTCAAAAAAAAAAAAAAAAAAAAACTATGGCAAGAGAAGACAGTCAAGCAAGTGAGCTACAAAGACAATGATCAAGATGAAAGTTTGAAATGGAGATTTCTTAGGTTTCCAGACATGACAATGTCTAGGACATGATGCTAGGATGGGTCAGTCTTGGAAGAAGAGGTCTCCAGAGAAATCTGCAACATGCAACTGTCAGGTAGGATTCAAGAGAAATTCCCACCAATATTCTCCTACAACTGCTGATAACAGAATGCTTATCTAGAGGACAGCAATTCAGACCCACCTCCCCTCTGGATGCAGCAAGTGGAGGGAGGGCGAGCCCTGACCCCAAGGATGAGCCAGAGCAGGACAAATGATAAAATCCTATCTCTGGGCCATTGGAGGGCTGAAGTGACCAGGCTGCCGGAGGGAATTACACAACAAACTGCAGCAGCCCCTCCAGGGAGAACGGGACACACTTACTGTTTCACCTTTGGCAGAGGAAGGAAAGTGGAAGGAGGCCATAAAAGTGGTTAGAAAAAAACAGCTGAACTTTAAACAAATTCTGAAAGGTTGAGAGTGTCAAGTGTGGGAGTTTAACTCCTGGAAAGCCCCAAAAGAAACGTTCCCACTCATTCCCAGGAGACCTGCGCCCAAGTCTCCAGGCTAATCCACTAGCTGAGAGGAAGGGAACATGCCTTTCTCCTTGTCCTGGAGAAAGGCATGTGCCACACACAGGCCAGGACCAGCACAAGACACGGGGCCGGTGAGACCCCTGCAGATACAAGGCAGAGTCTGGCTGCCACCGGGCAGAGGCAGGCTCACTGGGAAAGCTGCCCCCAAGGCCGTGAGCACAGAGCTGCCCAAGAGTCAGGCTAGAGGAGGGCACTGAGAAGGTGCCACCATCGGAGAGCTTGCCAAGGAGGTAGTAGAGAGAAACTCCCCTCTACAGGCCCACACAAGCACACACAGTGCTAGAGACAGCCCAGCTGAGGCCAACTGGACTGACCTGGCCTCCCAGGTGCACAACAGGAAACAACTTCAGCCTGACGCTCTCTGCACACTGTCTGGCATTTGACCAAACAGAACAAGAGAAACAGAAAGCAAGAACCAATAACGTTTAAGGAAGAGATAATACCAATTCTAACAAACTCTTCCAGAAAGGAGAAGAAACAGGAACACATTCCAACTCATTTTATGAGGCCCCAAAGACCACTATAAGATAAGAGGCCTACAGACAGATAGCCTTCATGAGCACAGATGCAAAAATCATTAACATAACTTTAGCAAATCAATCCAGCAACACATAAAAAGGATGTCCACAGATGGCCGGGCGCGGTGGCTCACGCCTGTAATCCCAGCACTTTGGGAGGCCGAGGCGGGCGGATCACGAGGTCAGGAGATCGAGACCATCCTGGCTAACACGGTGAAACCCCGTCTCTACTAAAAATGCAAAAAATTAGCCGGGCGAGGCGGCGGGCGCCTGTAGTCCCAGCTACTCGGGAGGCTGAGGCAGGAGAATGGCATGAACCGGGGAGGCGGAGCTTGCAGTGAGCCGAGATCGCGCCATTGCACTCCAGCCTGGGCGACTAAGTGAGACTCTGTCTCCAAAAAAAAAAAAAAAAAAAAAGGATGTCCACAGAAAGAAAAATAATGTTCATAGCAGCTTTTTTCAAAATAGCCCAAATGTGGGAGCAACACAAACATCCATCAATTAATTGGTGAATGCATCAATTGGTTTATCTGTACAATTACTCAATGAAAAAGAGAAACTACGGATGCATGCAACATTTTGGATGACTCTCAAAAGCATCATGCAAGTTACAGAAGTGTATGTGACACTCTGAAAAAAGCAAAACTGTAGGAACAAAAATCAGGTCAGGCTGGATGCGGTGGCTCATGCCTATAATCACTATGGGAGGCAGAGGCAGGCAGATCACGAGGTCAAGAGATCGAGACCATACTGGCCAACATGGTGAAACGCCGTCTGTACCAAAAATACAAAAATTAGCTAGGCGTGGTGGTGGCGGGCGCCTGTAGTCCCAGTTACCGGGGAGGCTGAGGCAGAAGAATTGCTTGAACCCGGGAGGCAAAGGTTGTAGTGAGCCAGGATACTGCAACTGCACTCCAGCCTGGGTGACAGAGCGAGACTGTCTCAAAAAAAATAATAATAATAATAATTCAGGTCGGCGGTTAACAGAGGCTAGGGCGGGGAAAGGGAAGTGACTACCAAGAGGAACAAGAGAACTTTATGGGGTGATGCAAATGTTCTGTAGCTTAACTATAGTAGTGAACATTTTTTAAGCAAAAAAAAAGTGAATCTTAATGGAAGGTAAATTATATTATTTTTTTAAAGGCCAGCTCCAACAAAGAAGCCGACCTACAAAGCAACAGATGGTCTGAGTCCACAAACACAGGTCAGCACTACACCTCTGCTGTTCCCAAGGTCACTGTTTCTGGTGAGGACAGAAAGGCTCATTTGACAAACTATCCATTACCAAGACAAGCCAGGGGCTGGGAAATGAGATCCTCCCCCAACCCAGGCAAGATGAACTGCAGGGAACCATAGGCACTTCCACTGGCCTCTGAACCAGGGCAAACAGCAGAAGCTTGTTCCCAAGGGCAGAGGCAGGCTGAAATACAAGAGCCTGGCTGGAATTGGAAGAAGAGCTGACAAAGTTTAAGGAGAAAACAAACAAACAAAAAAAACACCACAAAAAGCAAAGCAAATGGTATTGGTAAACAAACGAATGAAAACCACACAAAGAAAACCATAAAAATAGCTGCCTTTGTGGAGTTTATATTCTAATGAAGAAGAAAGCAAACCAAATGAGTAAGTAAAATACATAGTATGTTAGAAATAAGTGCTAGTGCCGGGCGCGGTGCCTCACGCCTGTAATCCCAGCACTTTGGGAGGCCGAGGTGGGCGGATCACAAGGTCAGGAGATCGAGACCATCCTGGCTAACACGGTGAAACCCCATCTCTACTAAAAATACAAAAAAAAAAATTAGCCGGGCGTGGTGGCGGGCGCCTGTAGTCCCAGTTACTAGGGAGGCTGAGGCAGGACAATGGCGTGAACCTGGGAGGTGGAGCTTGCAGTGAGCCAAGATCGCGCCACTGCACTCCAGCCTGGGTGCCACAGCGAGACTCCGTCTCAAAAAAAAAAAAAAAAGAAAGAAAGAAGTGCTAGGAAGAGAAGTACAGCAGGAAAGGGGGACGTGTGGGAGGGACCAAGTGAGAAAGTAATTCAGACAATGAGACCCCAAGGATAGAAACTGGCCCTGGAGATGGAGCACGCCTCTAAGGCCAGAAAAGATGGAAACCCACACCAGGCAGTGGGGACATGCTCTTCAGACTGTCACCAGGACTTCCCCAAGGCAGTTCTGCAGGAGAAAACAGAGGAGCAGGGAATGCACATGCTTCCTGGCTGCACATAGCAAGGTATCAGAAGGAAAAGACGAGCTCAGACAATAATTAGCCACTTGCAAGCAGAAATCAAAGGGCACAGAAGAGCCCTAGAATGTGGGACCTCACACAGTTGCAAAAGCCAACTCCTTCCATATCCCAAACAGCACATGTGAAAGCCTGCCCGGAACAAGGGCCCACCAAAACTCCATCCGGTCAAAGACGAGAGTAAGGGTGTGGTCTTCCCAGCCAAGCCTGCTGGCCTTGCTGTGGCCTCCAAGAGGCTGAAGCGGCACAAACAAGTAAAGGGGAAGGCCAGGCTTAAGAGCTGCCTCGGATAAAGAATTAACCTGCATGTCGAATTGCCGAGAACTAAACACATGAAAACTGTACTCCCTTTTCAAGAAACTGCACCACCAAAGAAATACTAAGCTCAAAGCCAAAAATCACCCTTCAGGGCCACAAAGCTTGACGACTGAATTATGTCCAGACAAGGCAGGCAGGTGTCCTGCCACCTACTGCAGTGTCGGCAGGGAAGACCAGGAGGAACAGACTAGAAGGTGGTGCAGGAGGGAGTGCCCTCTGAAGCAAAAGCAAATCCATTTCTTTCACGGCCAGCTGGCCCCATAACCTGGGGTCGGGGGAGCCAACACCCTGCGCTGCCTGTGCTGGCAGCCACTCACCACTGGCTGGTCAAGGCCGCCATGCCTCTCCTCCTTCTCCACGGTCCTGCGGCAGTCCGGGCACACCCATAGCGGCAGGTGCAGCACACTGTTGCCCTTGGGAGCCATGGAAAGGGCCAATTTGCTCGCAGTCTTAATTCCACTCTCTAAGAATGAGGAGTCTTTCCGTTCACTTCTGCACAGAAGACAATAATCCCCAGCGGGGTAGGGTGGTGTCCTATGATTCATGCCAAAACTAAAAGGAGTCTGGAATAGAAAAAAAAAAAATTCTATTTTCAAAACCTCGTCTATAAAGCCAATATTAAAATACATGTATAGTTGTAAAACTAAAACTAAAATGCATGTGTATGCTTATATACAGAAACATAAAATAGGACATTTATTGAATAAAACTAAACCTAATGTTCTAGAAATTCATAATACTTCAAATAAAATAACAGTGCCATAAAGAAAATCTTAGATAGTACGAGTTAGAAAATTGTCCAATTAACCCCTTCACCTTGACTTCTGTATTACTTTTCCACCACATGCTAGAAATTATCAGCCTCGATTTTCAGACTGTTTACCAGAACTGGTTACCACCAACAAAGTCTGAAACCACTATTCTAGAGGCGTCTGTATACCAGGGCTCAGGCCCAAGATGGCAATTCTGGCTTAAGTGTGTCTGCAGATCTAAACCATCTCTGAGGTGGGCTGTCCAAATTCCAGATTCAAGATAAACAGGGAAATGATGGCAGCTGCACATCCAAGGCCCAGCCTCCCATCCAGGCCCAGCAATAATGATGCTGAGCTCATCTCCTATCACCTGATGTAAATAAACATCTGCATTTTCAAATAGGTCCTACAATGTGGGGCAAGGGGAAGAGGCCTTAGAGGTAGAAGAAAAAGGCAAGATTATTATACCTTAAAACCTCTCAAAAGATAACCACCCACTCTATCAAAAAATAAAATAAAATTAGCCTTTAAAACACAAATACAGAAAAAGAAACTGAAGGCTGGGCACAGCAGCTTACGCCTGTGATCCCAGCACTTGGGGAGGCAGAAGTGAGATATCATTTGAGCTCAGGAGTTTAAGACCAGCCTTGGTAACACAGCAAGACTTCGCCTCTACAAAATATCCAACTATTAGCCAGGCGTAGTGGTGCACACCTGTAGTTCCAGCTACTGGGGAGGCTGAGGTGAGAGGATTGCTAAAACCCAGCAAGTTGAGGCTATAGTGAGCTGTGATCATGCCACTGCACTCTAGCCTGGGTGAGAGGGCAAGACCCTGTGTCAAAAGAAAGAAATGAAAGAAAGGAAAGGAAAGAAAGGAAGGAAAGAAAAAGGAAAGGAAAGGAAGAAAAGAAAGAAAAGAAAGAAGAGAAAAGAAAAAAGAAAAGAAAAAAGAAAAGAAAGAGAGAAAGAAAAAAAGAAAGAAAAAAAGAAAGAAAGGAAAGAAAGGAAGAAAGAAAGAAAAAGAAAGAAAGAAAGAAAGAAAGAAAGAAAGAAAGAAAGAAAGAAAGAAAGAAAGAAAGAAAGAAAGAAAGAATCGGTCCATCCAGCCTGGCCAACATGGTGAAACCCTGTCTCTATTAAAAACACAAAATTAGCCGGGCGTGGTGGTGTGCACCTGTAATCCCAGCTACTCAGGAGGCTGACACAGGAGAATCGTTTGAACCAGGAAGGTGGAGGCTGCAATGAGCCGAGATCACGCCACTGCATTCCAAACTGGGCGACAGAGCAAGACTCAGTTTCAAAAAAAAAAGACAATAAAAAAAGAAAAAGAAAAAAACTGAGTCTCACACGCCTGGAAATGGGGGTAAAGTCCCAAGGTCAGCAAGTGTGGGGCTGGCAGGGGAGACACAAGATTTTAACCCCTATCAACCCAATCCTAAGACGGGCCCTTCACACAGGGCTACCTCTGCACCTTAGGAGGAAGCCCCCTTGAACTCTGAGGAGAGGCTGGAGAGACGCACTCCCAGGGAGCAGGGCAAAGGGAAGCCTCGCCTGGCATTCCAGAGGCAGCCAGAACCAGGGCACACAGTGAGGTGGAGGGGTGAGAGAACCCCCGCTGGTCTCTCCTGCCATGTGGGGTGCCCTTGCTGCAGGACATGCCAGGTGAGAAGAGAGCAGACATGGCTGAGGCTGTTCTGGCTTTTCAGTCTCCATCTCCACCCAAAAGCTTCTCCAAGGCCGGCCGGCCCCACAGCTCTTCCCACAGCCTCGAGCTGTCTCCCTATCCCGCCACCCAGTGGTATTCAAAAGGACCCCGTGTGCATGACAGATTGGCCCCTCAACGGCCACTGAGGGCTCTCATTTGGACACCAGGCTCCATTCTTAAGACTTCCTGCTGACTGGCAGGAAGCACATATTTAAACAAGGGGCTGAATATATAAGTAAATGAATTAGTGATTGAAAGAATGAATGACAACACCAGCAAGACTCAAAAGATGTTCATATATATTCTCACGTTTCCATGACCCAGTGATCAAAACTGCTGACTCCTGTTACATCCACAGGGTTCAGAGTTTTCCCGAACCCAGCTCAGCAGCCATCCTGAGCTGAATGTTCGGGGCACAGGGGCAGAGAACTGGGTCCTACCTCCCCACAGTGTCCTAGGGAGCGCCAGACTACTCAAACCACTGAGTACCATGAGAATCCATGTATTTTTCCATACCAACAAATCCCAAAAACCTAAATGATGACCCAAAAAAAAAAAAAAAAAAAAAGCACATCGATTTACTCCCATATAAAGCCATCTCTTTCCCTCAGGTCTTAGAAAACAGCTCCCATTGCTGGCAGAACAGCCACACCCATCAGAGCTTTCTGGCCTGCCCTTTTAATCACAGAATGAGATGCTGGGCTCTACAGACCCAAAGGTCCCCAGCCTGAAATCATAATCTAAGAGCCAGAAATGACCAGAGAGACTAGAGGGCACACAGCTCAGCTCCCGGACATTCAGCAGTCATCCAGGATTTACTGAGCCCACCACATGCTCAGGGACTGGTCCAGGCACTGGGAGCACAATGGTGAAGAAAACTGTCAAAGACAAAGGCAATAAATAAGACAAATACATGAAAAATATTAACTAATTAAACATCGATAAGGAGAAAAACGTAACAGCAAAGAGGATCTGTGCCCTTTAATCTGGTGGCCAGTGAGGGTCTCCTTGGGGAGACCCCTGAAACCCACATGGATGTACCTTGTGGGGAGCCCAGTGGCTGGCATTGGGCTGGCAAGAGCAGAAGGGGAGATGGAGGAGAGCTGAGGGCCACTCAAGTCAAGGTGTGACTCTTAGGCTGCGTGCAGAGAGATGGGATGGGAGAATGGGAAGAAACGACTATCTGCAATTTAGGAGCCAGACGGCAACAGCTTGGACCAGGGCTGCGGGAAGGGAAGTGGACAAGGCTGTGAAGGAGCCACCTGTCAGGTGTGAGAGGAGAAGAGCCAGGGGCAAGCATGAAGCGTCAGGTGCTGGGTATTTTTTCATTCCTTCAGTTTCTGAGCTTAGTCGTGGGCCATAGTAGGGTTGTTTGGGAAGAGTCTGGTCCTTTTAGGGCTTATAGGCTCTGTAAGGCAGCATAGGAGCGCCTTTCCTCTTCTCCACAACTGAGGCAATATCCCCCTGAGCTGCCACCCAGGGTCCTGCAGGTTGTAAGATTTTCCCACAATGGCTGGTGGGAACACACACTGCTCCTGGCCCTGTGTGAGCTCCTAGGTTTGTCCCGCTCCTCACTTCCAGGATGCTAGCCCAGGTGCAGAGAGCTTCCCCACATGCACGTGCTTACGAGCCCTCAACTGGGCTTGGGGAGAACCCTATGTAGAGCTCTTCCTTCGCCTCTTTGCAGTTCTC